TGAACTTAAATACTCCAGACCACTGGAAGATGCTTCCAAAGTACAAAAAATGTTCATTAGTAATTTGTCAGTCAACATTGTTCTTTGATGCTTTCTTGTAACCAAAGTTTTCTGGGATTTTCACTGTAATATTTGTTTAAAATGTTGTTGTTCTGTAATAATACATGTATTTTCTTACAGAGATGCTCTGATCCTGATTACGGATAAATTTTGTTCAATCAACATGCTTTCATGCCATTAGTTCTACTCATTTTGTCATTGCATTTCCTATAATGTTTGTGGAAACACATTTGGAATTAGTGAATGTGGTAGGAAAGCATGCTTGATGGGGACGATTCTAAGTTAAGAAATTCCTGAGCACAGTGTATGGTACTCCCTCTAAAAGTCTATGTGCGATATTTGCAGGTGAAACGGGATTTCTTCACAATGCTCCGTGAGCATTCGGATATAGATCGCCATTCAAGATGGAGTGATGTGAAGAAGCGTGTGGATTCGGATCCTCGTTACAAGTCTGTGGAGTCCAGTTCTGCCCGAGAGGATTGGTTCCGGGAACATGTGAAGATTCTGAAGGAGGAACGTAAACGAGAGAAAGAACGGGACCGAGAGAAGAGAGAGAAGGATAGAAGAGATGGCAAGGATCATGACAGGGAGAGAGATCGAGACAGGGATCGTGAAAGAGACCGTGAAAGAGAGAGAGAAAAAGAGAAGGAGCGTGAAAAAGAGAAGGAAAAGGACAGAAAAGAAGAGAAAGAGAAGGAGAAGGAGAAGGATAAAGATATTGAAGAAAATGAAGTATCTGAGGTTAGTGTGAAAAACTTTTCTTTTTTTTAGGTAAACTTTATGGCCAATTTCCATTATGTAATAATTACCTACACTGTCAAGATGGGGAGTGTCTTGAAATATTGGATCAAATGATTGTGGATTGATTATTTGAAATTTTGTGTTCATGATCCATTCCCAATTTTATTAATGTCTTGAAAAATGTATGAATTATCAGGAATGTAGTGCTTACGATAAGCATTTCGTTTTCATGCTTCTTAAAATCTGCTTAAAATAAATTTATTTTATCTTCACTCTGATCTTCAATTTGCATTGAAAGATGTAGGTCACTTTTTTCACTAACAACTTTAATGATCCTTATCTTGTAGGATGAAAACGTAAATTCAGAAGATGAACGTGAAAAGGAACAAAAAGATAAGGAAAGGCAGGCAAGAATGGAAGCTAGTTTGAGGGAACGTGAGAAAGAGGTGCAGAGGACCCTAGCTACCCATCTTCGGGATCGAGATAAGGAACGTGAACAGCATAAGCATGATGAAGCAGTTCAACATTTTAATGCTCTCTTAGCAGACTTGGTGAGTGTTATTTTTTTGGGGGGGGCATGTTGCAGATGTATACAAGGCAAAAACAGAAAAGAATATAAATAGCTAAAAGGTAATACAATAACTTCATTTTTTTAGGTACGAAATGCTGAACTTGCTTGGCGAGAAGCAAAAAGACAGTTGCGAAAGGACCATAGATGGGAGTTAGCTGAATTGCTAGATCGGGAGGAGAAAGAGAAACTTTTCAACCAACATATTGAACAACTTGCAAAAAAGAAGAAAGAGAAATTCAGGTGATAATTCTTCTGCATTGCCATTTATTTCTTATCTTCCTATTTTTGGTGTAATAACATAATAATTTTTACAGGGAACTATTAGATGAAACAGGAGAAGTGACTTTAACTAGCAGTTGGAAAGAAATTAAGAAACTAGTTAAAGATGATCCTAGATACACTAAATTTTCATCTAGTGACAGGGTAAGGAATCTGAACATTTCATGAACTTACAAAATGTAATTTAAAATTGTTATGAATGAAGGACTGAATTTAAAAAAATGTGCTTGTAACAATGCTCTTAAATTTCAGAAATGCGAAAGGGAATTTAAAGAATATATTAAAGATAAACTTGTTGCTGCTAAAGCTGATTTCCGGGAACTGTTGCAGGTCAGTTTTGTATGATTCTCTTATAAGTTATGAACATGGGATGAAGGTGTAAGGAGATAAAAAAAGACATTATAATTTACAAAGCTAATTAATCTATTTCGTTTTCACTTATTAGAAAAAAATGATGCTGTAATTGCCATAATTGACAAGCAGTGATGAGAGTGTCATATTTGTGGGGTGGGGGGTGTTTTTTTTTTAGAAATAAGAGCTGGCATTAAACTTGTGGTAGAAATTGTGTGAATTAGCGATCTTTGGTTTCCATTACCTATTATTTGTTGCCAAATTCACATTATCATTAACAATGACAGGCCAGATTCTTTTTGCTATCTGTTTTCTAATTGTAAAAGTGTTTCCTTGTTTTCACGGAAGGTAGTCCTACAAGAGTTTTCATTGCAGCATATCCGATTTTACTAAAACTATATTTAGCCTCATTGGTTTTGACATTTTTGGTTTTACGATAACCACCAATTTACGATAAGTAAAAAAGAATAAATGATAAAGAAAGTTTTGTAGTGATTAGTCCCAAATACACTAAGTGAAGTACTGGAGGAGCTCATTTGCGTAACAAATTGTAACTTACTTGCCCTGCATTTGTTGATGCATGCTAGAAAAAATAAATATCTGTTTAATTATTACAAACTGTTATGGTTTGATGTCCTTGGTGTATAGAAGTATAAAATAGTGAACTTACAATGAAATCCACATACATAAAGGCATGATACATAATAATGTGCTAACCTATAAAAAACAAAATTTAAATTATCTAAATAAATTAATGTAAATTACATTAACAAACAAAATTGGAGTTAAATTTAAATTACACTAGTTCCAGAAGTCTGAAAATGTATTTCACATAAAATAAGCCTCAGGTATCAAAATTTTGTAGTTATTATTAACAAGTTTACATTTACAAAATTTAGAAATACTCCATTTGTACATTTTGCACTCGCATGTTTTTCAAGTTTATACATACAGTAGAACCCCAGTTATCTGAGATAATTGGGATGTAGTCAGATTCGAAATGTTCGGATTATCAGAAAAAATGTACTGTAACTCTACTAATACATCTGTAGGATTACCAGAAAATGGCAAAGTTGCATAGCGATCACATCACATTGCATTATCAAGCAGATTCAGTTCCTTATGGCAGATACAAATTTGAAAGTTACACACATGCTAAATGACTGTATTAAGAAAGTTCAGTAAAACTTTAAACTTTCAGATTTAACGTGAAGTTTTTTTTTAAAATTGTAAACTTATTCAAGGCTTCATTTCCACTTTGAGAATGTGTTTGCCAAGTAGTAATCATATTATTTTAAAGCTCTTTTAAACTAAAATCTAAATTGATTTAAAACAATTAATTATACTTTATTATTAATAAACATAAAAGTGGCGTAATATATAATTTTCAATATTACGTTTACTTAACAATAAAAAAACTTACAACTTGACTTCAGTTGTAATTAAAAATATGTTGTTTTTACATGACCTAATAAAACATAAAACTTGAATTGCTTTATTACGTATGTAATTATCAGTAGCTTTTTTCTTTTACTAGTTATTATCTTATTTTATTAATATTATTATAATTATCATAGAGTCATCAACAACATACTAGCCTTTCAAAATTTTGTATGTTTGTATTATGGCTCTACTTTCCCTTCAAATGTAGTTGTTGACAGATTCATATTCTGATGTCTCGTGACATTAATTAATTTCTATCTTTACAAAGTTTGGTTGTTAGTCTTTGTTTTCTTTCTATTTGGTCGATGCCCTTTTTATCATAAGGACAACCAGACTGTATAACCAGAATACAGTACAACCAGAAGCACTATATATGATAGGACATAAATATGTTTGTACTGTGCTTAACAAAGCTGCACCTTGAAAGAGAGCCTTCCGAAGGGTTTACATTAAGATACTTGCTTTCTTGATAGTTTGAGCATCTTGCTTTCTCCACCTAATGATTGAAGATCTTATCATCCCATGATTTCGGTAGTATTCATTGCTGTGAAATATCACACTGAGAAATCATGATCCAGACCATTTCTAGTACCATTTCACAGCAGTGATTGATCTATACCAAGAAGAAGTTATTGATTTCCATTTATTGGATTTAATGTTAAATCATCTATGTAACACCTCTTGAAGGTGGTGTTAAGGCTCTTTTGTAACTTTTCATTATCATCCCACGATTTAATAATTGTAACTTTTTAAGATAATCTGTATAAAGCAGACATCTACTTCCTTCAAAACAGGACTAACATCATTGATAAAGACAATGAAAAAATGGAACCAAGGTGCGAACCTTGGCAGAACTCCCAACAAAATATAAATCTCGACTGAAATATAATTTTTTAATTTTAACCAACTGTACTCTGAGAGAACCATATTAGTAATGGTCCAGATACTATAACAAATACTTTCAAATTAAGCCAAAGGTTTCTTTGATTTTATGATCAAAGTCTCTAATCAAATCACTGTAAAATGATTTCTGCTAGTATTTGATTATCCAAGGAGTTTAAAATATTGATGGAGTAATAACACAGATTAACCATGCTGTTCCTTCTGATAATTAATCCGAACTAACATACAAGTTTTAAAAATTTGCACTTTGTTACAATCCATTTTTGGTCTGGATAGAAGGTGCATTCTATTGTTTTTTAATCTTGGTAAAATTTATTTCTAAAGATGCTTTTATTTTATGTTCCTTTATTGGTTGATTTCTAAATATTGTGTAAATTTGTATTATGTATTGTATAAATAGAATGTTTCTCATTTAAGAAAGTCTTCAGTTTTTGTTTCAAAGTAGAATGTATGGTTAATTCTTATTAAGCAAATGCTACTGAATTTGTGTTTAAATCATTCATCAAATGTTTCTTGTGGAATGGATGAGGAGGTAATGTGAAAGGTACAGGTATAATGAATAATTTTATGAAGGCTTGGTTGTGTGTATTATAGACATGTTATTGTATTGGTGGAGTATAATTCATTTTATACATTAACCCTTGTTTTACAGGAAACTAAATTAATCAACCATAAATCATTAAAAATGGTCCAGGAAAATGAACAGCATATAAGGGAAATCGAAGAAATTCTGAAAAAAGACAAGAGGTATTTAGTATTAGATTATATGCCTGAAGAAAGGACTAAGTTGATCCTTACCTATCTGGAAGATTTAGATAAACGAGGACCTCCTCCACCTCCTACTGCGTCAGAACCCACTCGAAGACCTGCTAAATGAACTGAACTCAATGAAGGTAAATAAGTGTGTTGATAGAATAATGTTGAGTTATCCAGTTACCAGCCTTTTGGGAACAACTGCTTCATTATTGCTGTAGAGATAGTCTTCTACAGAAAATGTCACATTTATGAAGTAAGAATGTTTTTAAAAAAAATGTGAAGGATGGTTCACGATTTGATGTTTGTGTTCCTTTTGAATACATCAGGGAACAGTGTTCTTCTCGTATTCAGACAACTCCATACTGAGAGAATGGAGTAAATTTTCATGGTTGATGAACTTTTTATTTATGTATATACATAGATTGTTGTAAAATATTAGTATCACACATTGATTTACATTTCTTGAAAATGTTTAACTTGTCCACCTATTACATCTCAAACAAATTTTGTGCGAAAAATACAATAAAAAATGTTGTGGTCATGGCAATCTATTATATTAACGTTTTCCTGGCAGCAAATGCACTATTGTCAAGCAGACTTGTTTACTTTTTGAAATTGGAGCTGCGTGACACAAGCTACTAAATTTTCTTTCTTTTTTTTATGGATGGTTTTAATGTGTGGATGACAAGTGTCACTGACATACATTCTAATTGAAAATATATTTTTAATATGTATTATTACAGAAAATGACATAATCATAATGTAAAATGTCTTTGTCATTTTCCCTCTCCAAGGCCAAATGATTCACTTTGGAGATGTGTAATAACTTGATGCTCAGAAGTGACAGTGGGACCACAAGGTGTGCAGTAAGTGTGAAAGTGGTTGCTTTTGTATCATTTATGTAAATTGCATTCTTTATTTCTCAAAATACAAAGCATTTATAAGTGTAAATCTTTGGTTGTGGCAGTACCACTATCTTTCCTTGTTTTATTGTGCAAATGGAATTGAAGATTGCCTTATGATTGTGCATGAGAAATTGTATTCATTGTGAGAAAAATTTGTATGAGTGAAAAAAATGTGTGTTGTCCCTATCATAATAAAAGCATTTATAATGTGCAGTTCAAATAAATTTATCGTAAGTGTTTTAATTGTCCCTAATAAATTTTGTTTTTCCACTCTTATTGGAAAGATATAGGTTATTTGGAGAAATTGGTTTAGGGGGCCACTTGTTGAGGGACCTTGGGAGAGTGGGAGAGGGGAAAGGGGCATGGGTTTTCAATTGGACGCTGTGAAACGCTTGCATTAAATTTGGTTATCCCGATGCCAAATGTCTTTTACTGGTACAGAAAACAAAACAAGTCTTTCACATTTTTAGGCAGAAATCGGAAATTCTGTTTCCTTCCTTATCCCTTTCGATGCATTGTGAGCGAGTTCAATCTTCCTGAATTTAACCTTTCTTTGTATGTCATGCCTCATGACTAATTTGTTAGAATGTTTTTCTTGAAAATTTAAATGTTAAATTATGTAGAATTTTTCCTAAATTTTTAACCTAGTGAGTGCTATGTTTCGCTTTGTGGGTTTTTGTAAATGCAATACAGTATTTCAGGTGACTAAATTATTGAGAAACATTAGTTAATATATTTCTGAACCAAATATATGATGAACATCATTATCACACAATTTTAAGTAAATATTTTAAACGGCAAATTTTTCATGTCATGGGTATTTTTGAAATTTGTTACTTAATTCTTGGAGATACTTTCTACAGAATAAAGTGTTTTGGAATGTTACTTCTATTTGCAGTTAGAAAGCAGGTGAGAGTTGAATATAAAGTGGTCAGAAAAAGGAGAAGTGTTAATGATTTTTTGGATATGGGACGTTTAAAAACAGAATGGTGTCAATTCCATAGGTATCTTTTTAATTAACATTTTTTGAAACAATGGTCAAGGCATTTATTAGCTTCCATAGTGACAAGGCAGTGTCATTTCTTCCAACAATAAAATCTGTTTCCTTAATCGCAGATGTTCAAATTGAATCACACATCACACTTCATTGCAAACAACTATATGATATTCTGCTTATAGACAGAAACTTAAAGTAATGAGTCTGAACAGTTTGATGTGTTAATCAATGTCAAACAGGTGATCACAGCTCTAGTTCTCAATACCATATAGTATGTATGTACTAAAATTAGCATGTGACTTTACAAACTAACTGCAATGAAGAAGTGCAATGTGGAACAATAAGAGGACCTGAGTGACACCTTCCTTTGCAAAAAAAAAAGGTGACAACTTTTAGATCTGAAACATGCTGCACAAAATCATACAGTATTTACTTACTGATGATACATCTTGGTTATGTTACTGCTGTAATAGGACCTAGCAAAATATTTTTAAAAAACCAACAAAGTTATTGAAATATTACTTGTCATAGATATTTAGAAAGAAAGTGGTTGCAAGTGTGTTGTTATCAAACACAACTGAGACGTTAATTTTAGTTATCATATTATTCCTTTAATTTTGGATATGATTTATCATTTTTAATAGAAATAATACAACCAAGACGTAGAATCTTAAGTAACTCGCACAATTTACAGGTCCTTGTCCTTTCTGTCCCTGTGACACTCAGCTGCCACTGCTGTGCAACTTGTGCAGCAGGCAGGCTAGAATAGGCCTAATGCCTTTTGGAATGGTGAGAATTAATTAAAATTATTCTTTCAACTCACTCCAAGCAAGTTCTCAGTCACACAATTTGAATCATATAATAAGCTAAACTTCTCTTCACTTGTCTATTCACAACTCACTCCTGCTTCACCTTGTACCTCTCTGCGCAAGCACTACCGCTTGAAGGGCTGGAGAACAAGTATAATATGGAACAGTAGATGAGAATAGAAAGAGAATGTAGTGATTCTGGCATGGTTTGTGTTCTGTGATGCAATATTTGCACTCAGTTGTGTCACTGTGTGGATTAGAATTTCAATGTGAACGAAAGTGATAAAATTTTACCAGATACAGATGTCACAAGCTGTATTACAAGATCCAGAGGAAGATTGACACAACCGAAAGGGAATTTGATATATTCTGAATCACGTCTGTTACAAGTATCTTGTATATGATGTGGAATCAATTTGATTTTGAAACTTTAGAGTTTTGGAGTTTTGTATCCTTTTATATCTCAGCCATTGCCTACATTTTTCAAATCATAGCATCCACAGTACTGAAAATTCAGTGAAACCTTTTTCTTATCTTTTGTTTAATATTTTTATTAACAGTTTCATTACTAGAAAAGATATTTCATTCTAATTCTTTCAGTTATGAATTTTTTATTTTATAGAATCCTCTGAATTCCCCAAAATATATTGCAGGTGTCATCCATATTCTTGGAGTATTTCAGAATTATATAGTTAAAAATATTAACAAGTATGAATAAAAATTTACCATTTGGACAATGAGAATTATTCACATATTATTTAAAGGAATGCCAGATCATTTAGTTTTGTTCAAATGTTAACGTTAAGAGCCAAAATATTACTACGCAATGCCTTTGTCATTAGATCAATGGCTTGGTGTGAAGCATTATCCAAAATAACATTTGACTTTCCATATTATGAAATGGTCCAGGGAGAATATATTTTGCAGGCATGGCCTAAGAAAACATTTAGTATGAATATAACGAATATGCATTATGCAATGCATTACTTTGCTAATGATTGTTCTGCCCCTGATCCAGCTCAGCAGTAACAGTTTTCTCTAAGAGAGCATGATATTTAAAATGGAAGGCTCTAAAAGGAAGTGTAATAAATATATTCACCTGCGTGGGTTGGAACCACCATGAAGTTATGCAGTGCATTTACTTCATGTTAGCTCCTGTGCATTGGTAACTGCTAGGCTTTATAGAAATGTTAAAGTAGATTTTTAAGTAGGGTTTCTTAATTTACTGCTTGAAACGAGTGACGTGAGTACACAAGAATGAGTGTTGGGTGCTGACAGTACAACCCAGGGTCACTGAGTCCCGTCACAGCCAAGTACCTTAGTCATGAGCCACTACAGAGTCTGCAATACACTTCTTATTTAATTATGCCAATTCAAGACAATTTGTTCTCAGTAACATATATACAACAGAAACAGGCATAAATTAATGGCTCAGATTGAGTGTATTATATCACAGGACAATATAAAAAAAATATCACTAGCACATTTATTCCTATGAATATAACATAATACTGTTCATTTAACAAATAACATTCAAAATATTGGTGTATACATAAACAGTTTTGTGGCATTTATAAATTTTGTAAAAAATGTGTCTAATATTTGATATAATACAAACACATATGAAATGTAAAAATTGTGTTCCAATTTTCTCCAGGAGCAGAAAGGAGAAGGCTGACTAACGCCTGAAATTAGCTTCCCTCATTCCCGTATCTCCTGGCAATTTTCTAGTTAACATCTTTCCAACCTGGGTTTTACTGTATGATATCTTTAGCACTTAATTCTTGGTTCACTCTGGTAATTTCTTTTATGCCTAGAAGCATAACATGTGCACTGAATAAAAAATAGATCCACAAAGATCAATTCCCAGGAAGATTAAGCAAGTTGCATTGTTCCCAACATTTCTTCTTCTACTAAACTATAATTTTGCACAAGATTTTAACTACATATTTGCCATCCCAGTAGCTTTGGAGGATTTTAAACAAGGTTGCATTAATTTATAGTTCTCGCTAAGCATAACTGGAACGTACGTACGCGATATTTTTACAAAGGGGTTATCACAGAATAGCAGTAGAACTGCGGTTGTCGAAGTTATGAAAATTACCAGAGCAAACCTTAGACAGCGTCTGGTCGTTGCCTTTCTGCGACCCATGATATGACGTGAAACGATATTAGTGACTATCTATTTTTTTCTTTATTTAAATATATGCAGTGGTGGAAGCGAGAGAGAAGGTGGAGGGGCTTGGCGATGTTGACAGGTTCACGTCAGTGCGCACCGTGTCCGTTCATTGGTCCGCAGCCTCGATTTTTGGTTCAGGCTCGGGTGCAGATTCCGGCTCCGGCGCAGCCGCGTCTTCGGGTGGCTGGTCTTGGTAGCCCTGGGGCCGCAAGATGGCGCGAACAGTTTGATAGTGCTTCTTGAAACCCAGCTTCGTGTAGAGACTCTGCGAAGCGTCGTTCTCGGGCCGGATGACGACGAAGGGGATGTATCCCCGGGCAATGACCACTCGCGTGAGGGTCTGCGCCAAGTGGATGCCGTACCCCTTGCGGCGGAATTCCGGCTTCGTCTGCATGGAGAACATGGCTCCATAGTAAGACTGCACCATCCAAGCGGCGAGCTCGCCCGATGCGAAAATGCCATAAGCCGGCAAGACGTGGATAAGCTTCTCGAATATTTCGACACATTCCATGTCATTGGCAGGATACAGATCGTGGATGGCCTTAGCGTGCTCTGGTTTGAGCTGCTGAACCTCAGCTTCTTCGGAATTCAACCTGCAAAGAAAAAGGAACATGACTATTAATAATTTCACTGGAAATCCTAGGTGTTTTGATATTTGTCCTTTGTGCGATTGAACCTTTTTCTATTGTTTCCAGTCAAACTCTATTACTCCAAACAAATATTTCCCAAAAATGTATCAAGTAAAAGACTCGTGTGAAATTGAGGGGTGGGGAGAGGGTCAATTTTTGAACTGCACAAAAATAGTTGTGGATTAATTTACAAGAGTTCTAGAGATTTTGGTAATTTTGAAAAAGTTGTGAGGAAAACAAATGATGAAAAAAATTATGTGACAGTGACAGTTGTGCCATGCTTTGATAAGTAAGACTTCACGATAAATCTGACATAGAGTTCATCATAAGGAAATCTGAAATTACAGATTTTGTGTAGGTGACTTTCAACGGCTAGTTCATTTTCAGTAAACACTTTTAGGTGGTCCGGTTTCTGAATGTTTTTGTTCGGTATTTTTAATAGTCGATTGATTTAGTATTTAAAGGATGATTCAGCTTGTCATTGTGACATTTCTCTCCACAGAATTGCTGTCAAACATCCTGAAGCTTTTGGTACATATAATCTGAATTTTTCCCACTTCCAGGCAATCTTTTGTACTCGTTTTTGTATAACGGTCATATTTCTGAAGAAGCAAGGGAAAATAAGTAATATTGACATTAATAAACGATTAACGTATTAAGATAAAAAAGAAAGTTGCTGGCTACTTGTCCCCACTGAGTGTGGGTCCAAGTAGCCGGTTTTTGAGATTTATGTGCTCACAATTAGGAAATTCAAAAAAGGAAAGGCGTTATATTTATTATGAAGTTAAAATAGCAGTTCTATTTACAATTATAGAATTACTAAAATTTAAGCTTAAACCTGAATCAAATATGTTGAAAATCCCATGTAGAGATAAAAGTTTGCAGGGCACAAATTCTGCCAATTTGTCATCAGACAATACAGTGCTGTATGGTGCACCACCGAATTGTGACAAACGCATTTAATGTTGCATTGTGTTGCCATCGCACGGAAGCAAAAGCAAACTAATTTGACAATGCAATTTGTAAGTGTCTTTAACGGCTGAAAACTTTTTTTTTCGCGTGGGTTTAGCTGCCCGTGATGCCGGTATATTTTATTAACATTTAAATTGGTTTATACATTATTTCAAATCTTTGGTGCAGCTTTGCTAAATAATATTCGGTATTACATAATTTGCTTCACGTATTTGGAATTTTATGTTGATCCGCCTCAACAATTTTCTCAACATCCTTTATTTTTCTTTTATTATTCATTTTTCGTTTCTAATGTTTCATACAATTTACCTTTAAATGCTTTTACACTTCCTAATTTTCGGTTTTGTTATTGGTCACGGGCCACGCTGGAAGATTACTTCGCGTTGCCCGATTATTCATCATAATCATCAAATACACTACCTCGCCGCACACCGCGATCCGCCCGCTCCGCCCCTTTTGTCGCCCTGCCTACTCCGCCCCCAGTTCGGTTAGTTCACCACATACCGTTCATCATGCTCGCACCGCATGATCTGCCCGCACTGGTGGTCTACCCTCCCGAAGGCTCTGGTTGTCCTGCGTGCACTGCCTATACCACTGTTAACTCTGTATGGACTCCACGTTCTGCCTGAACCGCACAGCACTGCTAAAAGCTGTTGCCACTGCGGCGTCTGACCAGGACCTTGAGGTCCTTGCGTCCGAGACCCGACGGTGGCGGATTTCCGACATTAATTACATAGCTATGTCGGAAACAGCCGCTGTCTGGAGAATAATTCTACTGCTACCGGCTGCTCGAATCGGTATTTTGCGTGCTTTCTCGTATCTAAACCAGGCGAATGTCGCAGGAGTACCTTAACAAACCGCGCGTTATCTTTCCGTCCCCACCCTTGTTCCATCCCCTTATACATGTCAAAAACAGCTCCTAATTTTTTTCTTTAATTTTTGCTCTCTTGTATACGTACGTATATTCGGAGTAATACTCGTAGTATGGACAAAATTATGTAACGCAACGGCGAAAAGTCCCGTTTTTCGACACTAAAACTCGTTTTGGGGCGTCCGGATACCATAAAAGTGAATTTTCTTATTCGTATATGTAGTAAATTACTTTAATACGTATTGCAATCAGAAACCATGTTTTGTGGTTCCTTAATACCGAACTAGTTTTATATTAGCACTTACTTTCTCGCATTATTTCAAACTTCTGCAATTTTCGAAAATTCAGAGTTGAACGAAAATGATACTTGCACATTTCTTTTAAGTACCTTTTGTCCTATCCGTGAAAAAAAATAAAAAAAATTGGAACGTCTTGAGATTTCTTTTTACGTTCTTGCCCTTACGTAGTTCCTTCTTAAGAAGAGAAAGATACGTAATCGTGCGCCGGAAAACGGCGAATTTTCGGCAGAAAAAACTTTGACCCTGATATCAAAAAAGTGGATAAATCCCGTTGCTAAATGTAGATACAAAATTCTCTAACATATAGTGTTGCCAAAATCCATGTTTTGTGAGTGATACCAAAAACTAGATTGATGGCAAAACGAGCCTGTCAGCCCGTCTGTGGTCAACGATAGCACCTAAACCGTTCGGGCGATTTTCTTCAAAATTCATGTTCATTAATCGATCTGAATGGACGGAGTTTCAAACGGATATTTTGATTTTACATGTAACCTCAAAAACATTTTGAGTTTTCTCAAAAATGGCTTCAAATTTTTTGATTAAACTTTGTCTTTGGGGAGCGTAAATGCCGCTTAAGAAAATGGTGCAGGCCTCATGTTCGTTCAAATCTCAGATTTTTTGAAAATAGCAAAAGAGAAATTTTTTTTGGGGGGGGCGTCTTCATACAACTATAATATTGCAGATAGAGATTTTATCCTTAATGAAATCTGTTCCTTTAAGATGGATCTTTAAATAAGTGAATATTGAATTTTTAGAAAATATGGGTAGTTTTCGTTTAATTTGGCATGTAATATGAGCAATTAAAAACTTTCTAAAAAAGTGCTCCAAATGGTTCCTTAAATTTTTTTTCCACGGATAGAAGAAGGTATGCTAAAGAAAATGGCACGTGTCTAATTTTCGTTGAACTATCTGAATTTTCGAAAATTGCAAATTTAAAAGTAATGCGAGAAAATATATGTTGTTGCGCTACTAGTTTCCAATTTGCATTACCTTCAAGTAAACATTGTGTGAAAATACTCGTTAAATCTGATTTTTGTTAGAATAGGCTGATAAAAAACAGATTTATGAAAAAAAATCTTCATATTTACCAACACGCAATGTTAACTTGGTGCAATTTTCGAAAATACAGGGAGTACGCCGGAAATGGGACTAGATACAATTTTTTGTAACGTTCGTTGATACATGCCAGGATAAAATTTAAAGAAAAAATGTGGAGCTGTTTCTGAGAAAGTAATTGTTTAAAATTTGCCTATTCACACTAATTGTGCGAAAACTGCTCTTATTTTCGAAAAATTGTACATTATGTCATTTCGAGATATCTTCGAAAACATATTTTTTTAATGAAAAAATCATCTTGAAAATGTAGTTGTAGTAGGACGAACAAAATTTGAATTTTTTCAATTTTCGAAAATTAGACATTTTAACGAAATGAGTTCTGTACCATTCCTTTAAGCGTCCTTTACGCTATTCGAAAACAAAGTATAATCAAACAATATGTAGCCATTTTGTAGAATATTTGAAAACGTTGAGGCTTCATGTAAAGTACCCTCCAAAATCAAAATATTGTTTTCAAATTCTCAGAATCTGGAGTTCCTATAACGGGGAAATCAGTTTTGGAGAAAATCATCTGCTCGGTTAAGGCGCTAGACTTGACCGCTATTAATATTGCTAGACTTGGCCGCTGACGGACAGACTTGCCGTCAATCTATTTTGCGGTATCAAAGACCCATCATCTACCCTGGATTGTGACTACACAAGAGAAAGAAATTTACCACGTATAGGAACAAGAATTATCCCCTTTTTTGTTATCAGGACCCAGCAATAAGAGTTTTTCTGTCGAAAAATCGTTTTCCGGCATACGTTGACAATACTTTTTCTTCTTACGAAGTAAGGTAAGAAAGTAAGTCTTTTATTGTTTTTTCAAAACGGTTTTCGGTCGATCTGGCCCGACTTGATGCTCTGATATCTGTAAAAAAGTCATTGATTTTTGGGTATACTTTACGTGATGCCCCTGGAACATTTTCAAAACGTTCTCAAAATGGCTCCAAATCTTTCCATCGAATTTCTTGATGGAATATAGTGAACTGCAATAAAAATGACAAAGGTCAGATTTTTACTTTAACACTGAATTTCGAAAAATTGCAAAATTCAATTTGTTGGACCCCTCGTACAATTACATTATTGAAGATAGATAATTTTTCTTTAGATATTTAATTTTTAATTAATGCATATTTAAAAAAAATTAGCATAATTTTGAGTGAAATATGGACAATATTAAAAACGGTTTCAAATTAATAGAATTTAATAATCCGAATAACATGATATAAATGTCATGTTGATGTATTATTTTGATTTTAAAAAAGTTACATAATTGTTTTTGATGTCTCTCTTGTCATTAATATTTACATTATAGATGTATTTCATTTTTAATACATTATAAACTCAGTAGATTGAAGGTATCTCTAATGATAGTTTTTGAAAAATGTACAAATTTTTGAGTACAGAGGAAAACAGAAATGACGAATTTTCGAAAACATTCGAAACATTTTGTTTCAAAAGGGGCTGTGTGCTTACATAAATCTCCATGTCGGAAGAGTTTTTAATTCTCTACGATATTCCGAAAGCCTTAATTCAATGAAGATATTTTTGGCCCGAAAAAAAAATACTGGAAAATGTTCGTTTTTAAAAATCAGTGTTAAAATATCTATTAAATAGAAACGAAAAGTAAACTATCGAGCTAATTAAAATGTTCTCTACGTATTTTGCCTTATAACATTTTGTCATTTTTTGGAAAATATTAACGAAATGTGCATTTTTGTCATTGCGTGCTTATGATTTGTTAATTGGTGTGCGTAGACATCGGTTACCTTGGCAGGAATTTTGGATAAACACTGTGTTTATTTTGACAAAGTCAAATATATTAACATGTCGGCCAGTGAAGATAAGGTTTCGGAGATTAATTTCACTGAATACATTGGTTCAGGGCTGAAATATTGGAAGAATAATATAGTATGCTGTATTTGTCATCATAGTTAACTATTTACGAAATAGTATGTTAAATTTACGTTTTGCTTACGTAACAGTAAGTTAAATGTACGTTAAGCTATGACTCTCGTCAGAAATTTTTTTTTTTAAAGTGCCAGGGCAACAGCTATTGGAAATATATGGAAATGTGGCAGATAAAGCAAACTCGGCAAGCTGGGAATTAGCTTTTATTTTTAATGTAATCTGTTGTAAAAAATATTTCAAGTAAGATTATGTTCACTTTTTGAAAAACGAGTAGTTTCGCGACATTTTTGCTTGTAGTAAAGGCAATTTATAATTTTATTTTACCAAAAAATACTCTATTAAAAAAAATTATCTCATGAAGTAAAGACCTCTCACAAAATGGCGCGGGTCTCATTTTCATTGACCTACCTGAACTTTCGAAAATTGTAAAAGTTAGAAATAATGCGCGAAAGTTCGTGCTATAGTAGTTTCATTAGTTTAAAGATCTTTCTGACTAGTTCTGGGTACCGTGCAAAGGCCTTTGAAGACTATCATTCTAATGTAATGTTATGAGAATTTTGCTATAGATCGAAAATTAGGTTATTTTTTGAATTCTTAGAAATAAGGTACTTACTACTTGATTTTTTAGAGTTTCTCAAGTTATGATAAGAATTTTGGTTTAGATTTAGAATGGTGGTAGTAAGTAAAGATTTGTGAGAGTGTCCTAAAACAATTTTGATCTCCGATAAAACGAGTGTTTTTATTTTCCTCTATTTTCTTAATTTTTGGGGAGAATTGTAATTGTAGGATTGTAATATTAATTTTAATATTAGTTGAAACGCAAAAAAAGTTAAAAAATATTTTGCTCGCAGGTTGAATTTGGCAAGAAATTTTTTTCGTTATTTTTTTTTTCTTTCTAAAGGACTCTTTAAAAGTTGCGCAGAACTCTAGAACTATTGCAAATCAATCAATACCTCTATTTATTTTTGTGCAGTGCAAATATTGACGCGCCAACTTCACACGAGCCAAATAAAGGTTCACAGGGCTATCCTCCCAATTGCACACAAATCTTCCAGAACAAACAAGGATCGTGCTTTTTATGGCATTCACAAATAAATGCAAATTATTCACGTTGTGTACTCAGTTCGGGGTTGTTTGCCTGCCGTGAAAAGATTGCACGATAAGTTGCTGCGATTAGTTTCCTGAATGAGTCGCTTTTAAACAGTCGCTCCATTGCAGTTCGAGAACAGATGACCGCGAGAGAAGGGACACGTGAAGCGATCCACTTCCGGAGAAACTAGGACCCAACATTAATCGCGGCTCGCGGCAATGTAACTTCTTTCAGAGGACTTTTACAATTACGTCGCTGTAAACACCTGAATGCATTCTGGTGTGAGGTAAATTCACTTCAAAAATTATGTTGCTCTTATGAAAACGAATTCGAATTCATGACGGATTTTATTCTTTTTTTGAGTCATGTATTTCATTGTCAAATCGTGAAGTATATTATATAATTTTCATATTAAATTGACTTTTTCGAAGCGAATTAAATGTTTATTTGGATTTCTGACTACTTTGATTTTAATTGAAAATAGCTACATCGCTAGAGAAGATTGGACTTCTAATCCGTGCCAGTGTGAATACGATGTAATTTGAACGGAATCATACTATGATAATTAAGAAAATGATATGCATATACATTTTATAAAACTCGAATTAAACGCACGTGGGTGGTGGTGTGTACGAGTGCGCCAGCGCACTTGGACTCTGTCGTACGTGCATCCATGTTTGTGTGCCCTTAACCATTATCGGTTGAATTGTGGTTAAAAGATAGTAATTTGGTTGACCACTGTTGATAGCATGAAATTTTCGCTTCTAGAAACTATCTGCATGAAAAAATGAACTTCATATTCTAATTAACAGCTCTGCCTTCCAAATAGCAAACCTCCTCTCGCAACTAGCGATTTGAATGGGTAAGAAAACGTACAAATATTCTATCTCTTGCTTTTCAGATATAAAGATACGGATTTTGTTATTAAGTACAGTAAAATTTAAAGTATAAAACGGCTGTACGTGCGTTCCACGAAAACGTGTGAACCACTGGAGTGAAAACGCAGGCTGGTAAGGATATTTAGTTGATGATTTTGTTAAATAGATACCCTGGCAACGCCGGTTAATCAGCTAGTTATTATATTTGAACGCAATACTTTTAAATTTATCTTTATCTTTGGTTTTAAAAATTGATATTAATCTAATTTTTTCCAATCATGTCAACAGTGAACTTCGATGGGAATTTTACTCACTCTTCCAATGCCAGAGGTTCAGGTGGGTTGGAGCACACATATATGTCTCCACACGTCTTCTCCATCGTCCCCCCCAAGGACGTGTAGAACTTCTCCAGATGGTCCATGATGAGGCTGTGCGTGAAATTGAGGTACAAGGGCTGACTCCAGTCGATGAGGACATCTTCCTCCTCGACCAATTGTAGACACTCAAGGCGGTCGCACGGGCAGAATACACTGAAGCTCTCGTACAGTCGACCATTAGGCTGTAAGAAAGAGAAAAAAAACATTTTAAAATCCCGGATGATGCAGATGCGAATTGGGACTTCATATCACTTTTATAAAGAGCTATAAACAATATAAATATAACATGTTTTCAATGCATGTACGGATCGTATCATTGTCGATCAACGGAAGGCCATTATCATTCACTAATATGACTTTTCACAGAGCAAGATTTTATCACTGATATGATTAGATTTATAGACTTCGAAACCTTTTCTTGGTACTGGTAGTTCCAAATTTATTCATCGACACTATTTACTGGAATATTTTCCATTTAAAGAAAATAACATATGTTGCATATAAATATTCTGAACATAGATTACATTCGTTGTTCTGCAGGGATGAGTAAAACAAAAGTGTTTAAAATGTCTAACCGAAGGACTGATGATCAAACGTTTTTTATATGCTGACTAGTGGTAGTCTGTAAAGGAACTCGTATGAATGCAAAGAAGAAGCATTTGCTTCTGTATGTATTTCAGTCATGGTGTCTTTTGAGTAATTGAATCAGGAATTAAAGGACCCCTACGTGTACTTTTTTTGCCAAATTGTTTTGTTTCAAATAAGCGTTACATAAACCGAGAGAAAAAATGACCCGTGTCCTTCAGATATAGTTTCAACAGAAGGGTACAGGGTGAGGAGTTGAGAATGTTTGCGCGATTAAATCATACATTGTGAAGTATTTTTATTTTAGGTCAAAGTAGACTTAATGAATGTAAAATTAAGGTATTCTGTCACCATTTTACCACTTTTAATTCCAGAAATAATAATAATAATAATAATAATAATAATAATAAAGATAAGATTTTTCTTTTATATTTTGCGAAAGAGAAAACCTCCAACAAATGGATCCAATAACAACAATGTAAAGTCCTTGCAACCTTAGATGAAATTAAATAAATGGGTATTTGAAATAATCAAATCGAAAGTTGTTATTTAACTTGTATTATCTACTGTGGGATAACAGTAAGAACGGTAGGGATATTTTTAAATTTAAAAAATATTTAATTTACAAATATTGAAAATTCTCCCAAAAAATCTTTGTGACTAGTACTGAAAACTTTTAAGAAATGAAAAGAATGATTTGGTAATGTTCTCTGATAATCCGTGTATAGCGTGTCTAGCGCTTACAACATAACCGTGCATTTGTAATGTCCAGAAGAAAATTTACTAACTATATATATATATATATATATATATATATATATATATATATATATATATATATATATATATATATATATATAATCATGTCTGAAAAAGGGGATTAAATTTAAAACAATTTTTTCGGACACAAATTCTGCTGTTGGAGGAACATGGAACGAAAGAGCAGAGCACTCGATTTCAACCGATTGCCGCAACATTGTTTGTAATGAATGCAGTAGCCTGTAATGTATGCAACCCGCCATACTTAACTGTCTAGCGTGCAAGCACACTCGTTCGTGCGAGCAACTGACGTGTCAAACACATGACCACAAACCTTCTCTGTGCGCGGGTACTTTTGACCTTGTAGACGCTCCGCCTTTTATCAAGCGATAATTTTTGCCGTAGAGTTCTCAGAACGTTCATATTTTTAGTTATTATTTCCTATTCTTGATGTGTAATTTTCAAGAGAAAATATTTCCAAAATATTCCTCTCACATGATGCAGAATTATTCTAAGTTTAATTGCCAATGGGGCGAAAACTACATAGAAAAAAGTTACATGATTTTATCAAGGCTGCATTTTTGTGGTCATTTCAGAGGTTCGTGATCTTTATCCAAATGAAAAAATATATTTTGAATTGAGAGAAAACATAGAATAACCTAGAATAGCCTTCAGAATGCAAGCAATTTGTAAACAATATTCAGCGCAGTATACTCCGTGGAGTAATTTTAAAAAGTACACTTATTAATTGCAAAAAGATCTCCAAGTTGTGGTCTCAGTAGATATTTACGATAGGAGAAGATTCATATAATTTCGTCTTGATAGTGGTAATCTATATATACAAATTGAGGTGAATTTGTTACTTATTTTCCTATGAGAAGTAGTAAATGTCTTAGTATCTAGGAACTATTTATGTAGACAATAAAAAATCACGCGCACGGTATACAAAAGCTAGCAGCATGTAAAAGTAATGAATGGGGCCTCATCTCTGATTCGTGTAGCGATCGCGACCGGTTATTTTCCAAATCCGCTGTCAGAAAAAGTCCTCTGATAGCATCGAACTGCATTGTTGACTCGCCGGCGGCGGGGACTAACACTTCGATCGGAGCGGGTCGCGTTACTTCGGCAGCGCAGACCGCCGCGTTCGCCCTTGACGGTTCGATAGCGCTGGTTGGCGACGGCGCGTCATGTCACGTCACGTCACGTCACGTCACGAACGCAGCTGCAGATCACCAGTCGGTCTACGGGTCCTGGTTTATCTGCGAGACACTTGCAACATTCTTTTGGTCAATCGACGATCTAACTTTATTGATTGATTTCGTCGGGAACGCCAACTGCTGTGATTATTACTTTCGTTAGTGTAGTGGACGCTTTTGGGAGGAAGGTAGCGGTGTTTCCGATGAGACCTGGCGCCGTCCTCCATGTCGGCGGGGGATTTCCCCCTCCACGTATTTCTCCAGCGAGTTACCGCCCCTAGTCGGGCCAAGCTCCAAGCTGGCGTTCCGATGTGTGTGGTAGTGTATTACAGCATTACTATGTTAGTGTGATAGTATGGCAGCATATAGAATGGTATTAGCATGGTACTGTATTAAATGCACATTTCATATAAATGTGTGCATGTAAGGAGAGGGAATAGGACAAAGAAGAGGAAGGGGAGATCGCGCGCGGTCAGTGACCCCTTTTGTATGGTACTGATCCTGTATTCGACTCGTATTGACCGAATAAATCACGAAAAACTGCCGATCAGAGCTACCGACTGCTGGAATTCTTCTCCACACAGTGGCTAAATTCGACCAAGCTTTCTGACTAGAATAGAAATCCGTTACTGTCGGGACCCGAACCCTAGGATCTCCGAGTCAGAGCTGCCGCAGTAACAGCTGCAATACTGGCTCTGAGGTAACTCAGTCGATGACGGATTGAAACCGAGGAAAGGGGTAATGTCGATTAACATAATTAAAGTAAAAACCAAAGGTCTTGTAGCATTAGTTTTCGCGAGGTTTCAAAGCACGCGCTCAGCGCTCTGAGTGGGTGGGAGGTTCGATCATACATATGCAATGGTAAATTACAAATCATGTTTTCATTCGGTTCACGTTGGCCGCTGGCAGAATTGGATAGGTCAAACTTCGAGTTAGAAACTACGTAAGGAGTGAGCTCCCTACAATATATTAAAAGAGTCTTCGTTGTTCTATAGTGCTTGCTTATTTGCAATGATAAATGATGAATTAAATTATTTGATGAAATATCTTACCATTCAGGTGAGAAACTTTCTAAAAGGTCAAATCTTTTAGTGGTCGTGGTCTAGTCATATGATTGTAATATTGATTACTTACGTGATTTGAAATTGTAAAAGAATAAAAAAACTGACACGTGTATTTTATGTATGGTTTTAGTATTTTTTGTCTTTATACGGTCGTAATTTTTTCTTTGTTTATTCAAATGTCGATGTTCAAACACCAATAAACCTATATAAGTTGATTTGATTCAACAGATGAATGAACGATTGTTAAATTTAAGTTCCTAAATCACCTAACAAAACATTGAAACTTTTAGATAAGTACAGGTAGTACACTGTGGCCACCATTGAAACTTCGTGCCTAAAATAAGACAACCTACTGAAACCACTTACATGCAATGCAGTCAAAATAACTGCATCACTGAATCCCGTTTGGCCATTAGGGTTCAAGGTGACGACGTGTTATAATACTGCTGGTGTTGTTTGACGTCAAATGTTATTTGTGTTAAGAGTCTGTGAATCAAATTACAAATGGCGAGACTACAATTTTTAAAAGAGTTCTAATGTAATGAAAAATAACTATTTAGGTTTAAACTGCAGTTCTAACCTATGGTTTAAAATGGTTGTATTTATTGTGGTGGATGAATACGTAATAACACGTGGACAGTACACAGTGGTAAAATAAGCAAAAGTGCACAGTGGGACTGTCCCACTATGTACTGCTGTATTCGTAATCAATGGTGTCATATTAAATGTTACATTAAGTGTCCTGAGAGACAACCATTAGTAAAATTATCATTGTTTTAGATGCCACAAAAGTTGAAAGAGCGAAAATTAGCCAGATTTACAGAAGTGGACATGACATTGACTGTAGCTTTTGTATAAGAAGGTGGATCTCTTAGACGAACAACACGGCGTTTCGGTGTTTAAAAATCATCCTTCCAGCGGTATGTTTCAAAAAAGAAGTACATAGACGAAGAAACTGCCATGTGCATCACCCTGTACTACCTGCGGTACACAGCGGGACACTTGTGAGTTTGTTCTAAAAATACTTAAATATATTGATTGTGCATAGTTGTAGGCAATTAAATTTTTTTGCATAGTGTCTTTATAAATGTTTTATATCGTAAAATTAAAATCAGCCAACATTTATTAAAATTGTTCCCGAAAAAAGTTCAAACTTTTTTCGTCCCATTGTGTACTACCTTTTTCTGCAATTTAATTTGCATACACACCGTTAATGAAATCATATTCATCTTACTTTCTTTTTTTACTATACCGCTTTGAACGATGAATAACTTAACTTTACAATCAAACGTATTGAAATATGTAGTTTATAATGAGAAGGAATAGTCGTAAATAGATTGACAGACCAATATTTATTTCCGTGTGTTATTAAGTATTAAATCCACAAATCTCATTTTAATTTGACCAAGAGCTGCATTGTTCATTTGTTTCCATTCTAGCGGTGTCAACATTTTCCAAATAGAAAATGCCGATATGAGATTAATGTTGTCAAACTAAATTGCTTCCTATTCAATACCTATTATTTTACATTATAACTTTCGAACAAAGTAGTAGACCACATCTGCTTGATATTAATAACCTGAATGGAATGATAATTTTGACTCTCGCACGTTCCTGTGATTCGCAGCAACTCAATCTCACTTTGCATAAAAAGGCAAATCCAATTTCTGTAAGTACTCGCGCAGATTTGTCGTAACGTCTCTGCAGTGTGCCATTAGCGAGTGGGCAAAGTGGGAGGTGAGTTTCTCCGCCTCCTCTCGTAGCTCGACCTTGAGCTCAGCGCTGCTGCTGCTGCAGCGGCGATGGCGTCTGCGCTGCGGAGCGGGTGCACGCGGCCGATGCGGAGGGGGCGTGTCCCCTTGGAGGGGGCGCGACGCGACGCGCGCGGCGGTGGGGGAAGCGGCGGCGAGGGCCGTACCGGGGAGGCGGATTGAAAGAAACGGGGAGGTGCAGATGAGTGGACCGGGAGGCGACGGGCGCGATTAAGCCAGCGAGGTAATAGAGTTGTTGGAGACCGGGCGACGGAGAAAGCTGAGGGGGTTGTGTAGTCGTGGAGGGAGGGCGGAGTGTGAGGTAATTAGAGACCATTATGGAGCCGATTAAAAGTACATCTTGGTGTTTGCAATAGATTGTTTTTGAGAGTAGGTCATGCGAGTTTTATGGTAACAGTAACAGTAGTTTATTTGTAAAAGAGAGGAGACAGGGTGATAGTCGATTCACGATTTGGGGGCTGCAGAACCAATGATGACTATAGCTAAGCTTCTGAAAACTTCTCATGAGACTAAATACAAAAATATTCATTACTACAATCCCAAAAATGCAGTTATTCGTAGGAATACGTACATTATTTAAGAAACATATAATACATATATTGTAAACAGATAATGGTGATCGAGTGGCAAGGATGGTGGTAACAGCTAAAGCAATTAGTCTCGGAAGTATAGTGCATGAAATTTCCTCGAGAGGTGGCGGTGATCTTCCCCCTTTGGATGGTGTGACTTAGTGCCCACGTATTGTTGGCTAATGGGTTTCCTCCAAACAGATATCTCCCTCCAACGGGGCACCGCCTCAGCCAAAACCAAATCTACACGGTCTCCCTGCATCTGTGGTCGTGTAGAGCATCTAAGTATGAGTGAGTGTAAGTAAGGATTGAGGGTTCGTGAAGGAAGAGGAAGGAAAGATTGCACGAGGTCTGTGGCCTGTTTGGTAGGGTACTGCTCCGGCATTCATCTGGTGTTGAACGGATAAACCAAGGGGAAATGCTTATTGGACAGCCGGCCGCTTGAATTCTCTTCCAGGCAACTACTGTATCCGACCTAGCTGTCTAGTTGGTGTCGAAAAACTTCCCACTATTGGTACTGGAATCTAATACCTTCCGCTCAGAGACACTGCAGTGACATCAGTTGATGCTCTGAGCCCCCTCTCCGGGTGTGATCACGTTAGATTTGAATAAGCGATTGCGAGAAGGGACGGGGATATTGAAGGTGGCGACGACAACCTTGGGAGGGATGACCGACGGGGGGGGGCGGGGGGTCGCCAATGGCAGAGGGCGTTCGGGAGGGGGCGGCGGCGGAGGTTCGCTGCGGCCTTCGCCCGCTGCGCTGCAGAGGCGCGGCGCGGCGCCTCGAGAGCCGCAGAAGGCCAGCCACCGCAGTCGCCCGCAGCGCCGCCGGCCCTGCCAGGGGGCGGGGCTCGAGTCCAGGGGGTAGGCGCGCGTCGCCGCGGGTCGAACCAGAGGCGCGCGCACGAAAGGCACCGAGCAGCGCTGCGTTTGGGAGAGCGTGCGCCCGGTGCACGGAATAAAGAACCGGAGTTCCCCCCGTAATTACGCTGATGATTTAGGTCAGACACTGGTTTTCAGCCTGATTTAAAATTCGTTTCGTGAATATGAACGCCCAAACCCTTTGGTTGTACTAGAGATCGGAGATCACGTAAACACAAGTAGGGCAGTGATAACATATCTGATGCATTACTTCACTACGAAGGAGAAATATGTTACCTGTAGATGGTCTTAATTACAACTTAAGTTTAATTAATTAAAATATGTTGACAACAATTACATGCAATTTACGAGAGAAATAGTCTTGCGTAAATTTGAGGTTATCAATCAGATCTTTCGCCTGAATCTTCAGGGAGATCTAATATTTTATTTCATTCATTTCTAATTAATTAATTGTCTACACTTTATATCAATTGAAATCAACTTTTTGAAAAATACGATTGGAAATGTTCAAATACACTACTTTTATTATATACTCTCCAAAAATTACATATTGTCAAGTTTGCTAGATAATTTCGTAGATGACTTAAATTTTGAATGAATTTTGGTAATATATGCTTAATGATTTTCTTGGTGAATGTTGATGTTTTGTAATTCAAATCCAAAAAAAAAATCAAAATCAGGTAAATATATTTTTATTCAACGATGCGATTGTAAAAATAAATAAATATGTGTTCTACCTCACACGTAAGAAGGGGATGTTACAAGAAGGTTGAAAGTAAAAATATATAAAATAGTCTTAATATCATTGAGTAACACAAAATATGATTCTTTCGCGTATCTTTACCATAATAATACTGGTCCCATTTTAGTCGTATTATTGAGACAGGCAAATAACTAACTCAACGGCGCGGAAAGCGTGGCTCCAATTCGCGCAGAAATAGAAAATGGCGGCCTAGTCCCAATTGGAGCGCGCGTGGGAGAGGGGTGGGCGCGTCGGTTGCCTGCGCCCCCTCGTGATTGCTGGCGGGCGCCCGAGTACTAAAGACGAGGGTCGGGGCGCGGCGCGAGCCAATCGCCGCCCGGTACAGGAGTCGCCTCGGAGCGGCGCTGGCGGCCCGCCAAGCGGGGCGGCGGGGCGCGGGCGCGACGGGAGACCGGTGGAGATGGAGGAATAGGCAACGAAAATGTTGCTGACGCCAATGTTGTGGGGGGACTCAAGGCGTAGCGGACTACCGCTCGCCTTCCACCTGCGGGGCCCGGGTTCAAATCCCGTACCAAACATGTTGAATTTATTGTGGTCACATCGAGTTCAAAGATCTCCCGTTTCCCCTGTCTCTCACTTGAAAATATGTCCATTATAATTGATCATTAATAATCTCTTACCCATCAAAATCAGCAATTCATTTTGGATAAAGCCATGAGGTTTAGGCACTAGCATGAAAATACAAAAAATAGTCGCATATGTTTATTAAGGCTGGAAGTAATCTGTAGTTCAAAATTGGAAGGTTGGAGGGTTTGGATGCACCGAAGAGATGTCTGGGGTAAAGGGTTTAGAGAAACAGGAACAACGATTTGGCATTATAAAAGATCCTCGCGGGTGTAATTGACTCCATGGTCTCGGTCCTCACATATAAAAATTCCGGCGGGAAAATTGAGAATTCCCGTTCAGGGGCAGTGTTCCCGGTGATACATCGTGAATAGAACGGAAACGGCCTGAATGCTCTGCGCCCTGTAGATGGCCTCTGGTTGGGCTGTCGATTCTTAATGTCAGGGTTCGATACTCCTGGGTTTTTAGAAGTTCCAACACAGTGAGTGGCGCCAACAAATCCGATACCAAACCCGAAAAGCTACTAAGCCTCAAACTATCGAGGTGGCCTCATTCAGGTTGTGGGTAGATTTCCTCATCGCTTTGCTGGTATCCGGGTACCAATCCATCGATGTATTGGACACTCACGGGCTTGAGGATAAGAGCAGTGGTCATGAGTCGATCCCGGGTCCCTGAAAACTCTCTGAAAAAAAAAAAAAAAAAGCTGCGCGAGCTAGAATACTGCCAGAGGAGTGTACTAGAAAAGGCACATCTTGTGTGTGGAGGCAGATTTGGCTCGGGTGTTCTGCCGGAAACGGCGATGTGACTGCAAGCATCAACCGCGTCGACGTGGGATTTGGTAGTGGCGGTGATGACGTCGGGAGCGGCGGAGACTCGTGAGCTTACTGGCGCTACCTGGTGCCTGGCGCTCCGCTCGGCTCGTTCGCCGCCTTGAGCGATCTCTCCCGCCACTCGACCTTGTTTCGGCTCCCGACCCGCCCTACTTCCTCCCGCGGAACGGCCCCACCGCGCGTCAACGAACGAGCGGCACTTGTTCTCGCGAGGGGACTTCCAGACCGTCGAGCGTGACGGCTCGTTGGCAGGTCGGTGCCGCGAGTCCAACGGATGTGTGCGTGTGTGTGTATATGTGTGTGTGTGTGTGTGTGTGTGTATGTGTGTGTGTGAGAGAGAGAGAGAGAGAGAGAGAGAGAGAGAGAGAGAGGAGGCAGGGAGATGAAGAGAAATACAAAGTTTCAGAGAGGGAGAGACAGAGAGAGGGAGATAGAGAGAAGAAGACATACCGAGAGATCGGCAATTTACATAAGGCTTCAATGGGGAAGAACGAAAAGCGTATTACGTATGTAATGGTCGTAGGGCTTACTTCACTTTTTTACGTTTCTCTAACTGCGTGCATTGATCTTCTCTTTGCTCTACGAACTTTTGTTAATATGAAAAGAAAGTGTGACCTGCATTCAGGAATGATGTCACTTGTGAGTTAAACCTCAGCGATCGATTTTACTAATGAACATGGCAATTTTCTTCCGGCTGAACAATTTCTCTATATAACCCTGAGTTAAGGGTGACATTTGTCTAAAAGTGTAATTCTATTATTAGGGGAGTAATCATAATACGTTTTACTTATCTCAGGGGATTACTGAACAGTGTTGATTGAAAATATGAAGAATATTCTAAATATAAACGCGGGCTGGAAAACGAGATAAAGATGACAGGAAGTGAATGACTCCCAACAATAGTTTAGTAGTTGCTTAATAAAATTCAATTTATAATAATTAATTTAATTAATAATAATTTATTATTGTTAATGATTTGAGAGGTAATAAGGTTGACATGTGGAAAATGACATTTCTTCTAAACGATTTAGTGTTTTCGAAACAAATTATTGATAACCGAAGGATAGGATTGTCATCAGAAATGTTAACAATTGTAACCGTCACCTGATAATGAATATTGAAATTGGTGATGTTAATTATTTAAGTAACCCAAGTGATGTTACGAAAAGAACGCATTTTTTGTCAAAACCACTGTTTCCACTCAACTTGACCAATATTCACTTAATTGCAATGTTCGGAGCAATGTTTTTCGAACGAATTATTCTCCT